ATGGTTAGTTCATTTCAGTGACTTCTATTGATCATCGGAGCCAATTGGCTGCAAACGTACAGCTGTCAACATAACACACAGTAGCGTCAATTTCCCAAGAGAATAGCTACACATCACTGCACAAATCCTGCCATGTGACTCACACTCCGCTATGTATCAATGCCCGGAAAACAGCTGTGTGATCGTCTGTAGCTCGGCCAAGAGGCAGGAGAAGGAGACTGAGTGAGAGCCTGGTGGGGATAAAGATATAGGGAGAGATTAGAGTGGACAGAGATGGAGGGCACATATAGAAAGAGAGACTAAAACAAAGGGATAGATCACAGAATCATGGAGGGGGGATGTGAAGGATGGATGGAGCTTCGGCACATCTTTCATTCATTCTTCCCTGCAATGCCGGGGCCCGACATCAGAGTTGGTGCAAGATTACAGCTTACCTTCGCTTTCTGTCTCTCCCACTTTCTCTTTCTCTCCGCCTATACTTTGCTATCATTCCCCCGAGGCTATGTGTTACCCATTCCCTGACTTTGGAATTAAAGTTCTCCCCTCCTCCACTTCTAATCTGTTCTCTTCATTATTCTTTCATTACACATCTCTGCTCCCTTTGTAGTGCTTCCATGTCTCTGTTTCTCTTCATCCCCTCGCTTTAGGCTGACGTGTCAGATATTCTCCCTGTCAGGCAGCCTCATTTTTGACATGGGGTGGGGGGGTGTTAAATCACATAAAACAAGGGACTATAAAGTGAGCTGTCTGATTTATATTTTGCAAGGTGTGACAATTTGCCTAAAAGGACCTTCAACGAGTGTCCTATAACTGCATGGTTTTATTTCTCTTAAGGTCTAAAAATGCTGACAAGTTTCAGTGCGAGCAGATGATGCCCTCAATATAATTTTAACAACCGTGGAGTTGCTTGAAATGCCATGAAAGGTCTATGCTACAAACCTGGCAACGTCTTTCTTTCAGCCTGTTGGTCAGCTCACCTATAGGAGCTTTTGAGTGAAGTGTCTCAACAGCTATTACATGGATTGCCATGAAATTTGATACGGACAGTGATGTCCCCCTGGGGATGAATTGAACTTTGGTGATCCCTTAAAGGAGAACACCTCTGATTTTACACATCACAGTCAGTGTACGTGTCTTGGGGGATACTACTGCATATGTGAAGAAGTTGTTTAAAGCCTTTTGTGTTTCCAGCGGAAGTTGCGTAAAACTAGTTAAATTGCCTCAAATGACGTCACTTGGGTCTGTCAAGTTGCATTGTGGGTAATGTAGGTGCCAGGTTTTGATAGGGAAGAATAATAATAAAGAAAATATCTTTGTTTTTGTTGCATCAATTTTGATCCTTTGAATTTATTTGTCCAGATGCCTGCAAAGTTGAGGCCATTGCCGCCCTCCTTCGTTGTATTTCGTTTAGAGTAAATTAGCAAACGTTAGCATGCAAACATGTTAAACTACGATGGTAAAAGCCCGGCTAAAAAGGATTTCTGGCTTTATTCTCCTCCTGTACAGTACAGGGCCAGTTCTGCTAATTGACTCTTGAAGCAGCAGACACATTGAAGGACTTTTGGTTGGTTTTAAAGAGTCATTGTACCAAATTGCCTGATTAAGTAGCCAGAAAGTTCTGTGGAATTTGCCAATGAAGTGGCAGATGAGGGCCGTGGTTCACATTTTTACCAGAAAGCAGGGATCCGTTATAGGCCTATCGGGGTATTGCACTGCTCAACTTCCATTACAAAGCTTACTCCAGGGTGCTGGAAAAGTTCCTCCAGCTGATACAATAGAGATTTCATCCTGATTATGGGAGAGTGGATCAGCTTTGTATTCTTGCAAAGATACTGAGGGTTCATGGGAGTTCAACCATCCAGTCTACATGTGTTTTGTGGATTTGGAGAAGGATTATGGGGGGGTGGGGGGACTGTGGGAATATGGGCCGTTGGGTCGTCGGGTGACAGGGCCATTGATAAAGTGTGCTTCTAACCAGAGTTAGAGCTGTGTCCATACTCTAGTTAATGGGACCTGCCAAGATTGTGCATTAGCACCAATTGTCAATTAATATAATCCCTATATGAGATTCCAGCCAAGGAGTGACAGTGACCTTTAGAATGCAAACACATTATTTCTAGCCTTGTGTGAAGTGCTTGTGATGAGCGTAAGTACCCCCAAGGCCCATGGTCCTCTGCTGAAAAATGGTGGATTGCCCTCTTCAGGTTGGCAGCCAGCTGCTGTCCTAACTGATTCAAGGGGTTCAGCTGTGGGACTGATGCTCTTTTGTGTTAGAGGGAACTTGTTGCGGTAGATTCAGGCTTCGGAGGAGGATGCCCTGTGGATGTCCCCCTCTTGAGATATTGAGAGCATGTTTATTTGGAAGGAGACTCTGAGCCCACTGGAGGGATTAAATCCCACCTGGCCTCGGAATATACCAAGGTTGTGGGGAGGGGGAGGACATGGCTGGGGATACGGACATGTGGGCTACCTTGCATAGACTGCGGTAGCGATCTAGACCCCAATGAGCTGCATGGATGCAATGGATGAGTGAATACAAACTCTTTCATCAACAATTGTTGGCAATATTGAGAGGCAAACGGTTATATTCATGTGCTTATAAAAGATTAGAACTCAACAATTGCCTGCTCCTGAAGAAAGTTTAGCTTGTCTAGGTAATAAATGTAAGACCTAATTTTGTTTACACAAAGTGAGCATACAATTCAAGACATAATTTCTATGCCAAGTATGGGGTACATGGTTCCAAAATAATAACATTTCAACAGTGCTCTGCACTCAGTGGATTATGTCAAAGAACACAACACAGTTCGCCTGAAGAATGATGGTAACCCTGTCATTTTAAAACTACTCTTGTCTGACACCACTTTTACAAATCAGGCACAGGGCTACCTCCTCCTCCATCTCCTCCCGTGTTTAAGCCCACATTTGCTCCACCTGTGGTATCTAAACAAGCTGAACTCTGAGACAATAAGCAGCCATTTGTCATCAAGACCTACTTCAGCAAATACTCTGGAGTCTATGTCAAGAAATCTTTATTCTTCACTCCTTCCTGCCTCTCTTCCCTTACTACATTAATTCTAATCTCTTTATATATTCCCCTCAATTCCCCTTTCCTGTTACTTCTTCTGTCCTCTTCTGTTTTCTTCACTGTCCTCCATCCTCATTCTCCTCTCCTCCCCTGCAGCTCCATTAGGTAATGAGCCAATACGGTAAATTACAGCCACTGCCACTGTACCGTGTGTATGACTAAAAGACCTTGCGTAAGAATGCCCCTCGCTCTGCTAAATCAGCATTAGCCACAGCTATGCGGCATGACACAGGTCTGATGTAAGGCAATGTGCGGGTTACGCTGTGCTTAGTCCTTCACCACAGGACAGGAGAATTGTTGCGGATCTCATGACTTTACAACACGGAGAGATGATTATGACTGGGTCGATATCAAGGATGATAGGCTGTATTGATGTGAGATAGTCAGTGGAAAGGCTTCTTTCCCTCCCGCTGTCATTGCTGGGAATAGACAGAGAGATTCAGAGAAAGAGACGGTGTGATGGTAAACTGCCTGCGCCCCGTCAAACTCTCAGTAGCTGATGCAAATTCCCGCCAGTGTCTTAGAACAACTGTGTGTGTGTGTGTGTGTGTGTGTGTGTTCGTGTTCCAGGCAGCTCAACTATCAGTGTTTTTGTGTGTACGGTGCAGTGGAGCAAGTATCGCCTCTCCCCTTCGAACGGGGCTGAAAAAATATTAACCAGCTGTTTTTGGACCAACTATGTTTGGAATGTGTGTCTTTGAATGCAACTGCTCTGCAAGGGACTATTATTACCTGCAGGGTGTGCCGGTTATTGAGTGCTGCTCCACAGCCAAACAGTCTCCAGTAGAAAGAAACTACAAGGAGGTAGATGTTTGTGTTGTGCACTTAGATGGGCAGTGGTTCCATTAAGCCATTTTATATTGACATGTTTATGCTTTCCAACTGCTAGTTTATGGAACTTTAACTTCATAGATCACACAATAGCCACTCCAGGCACTCAGACTGGTATTATCGCATTGCGAATAAGCCACTTAGCCCCACATGATAACTGTATGTCTGAACTTTACCATGCCCAGCAAATACCCAAGCAGATTCTAAAGAGATTACATGTCTAGGAATGAATGGTATGTCTGTCAAGGCGAGACAGTTTAGCCCACTCTCAAGAAATTGCCCCCAGTTGTTTTGAAAATTAAATTCATCATTTGAGACAAATGCAATGTTGAAGGCCTAACCGGGGCAGGAAATTTGTCTGTGGAACAAATTAGCCAAATAATGGTGATTTCTACTTCAACCAATTAGTTTTAGGGTAAGATCAAGACATCTGAATGATGATTAGTAACCTGCCAGATTAATTTGTTAGCCTTAAGCTATAATGGATAACTAGTGGATAAAAAAACGTCTTTTCCATTTCCCCACTGAATCAACAGTTAATTATTCAACTGCCTATTTTAATATGGTTTTTATTAAGGATTGTTTCCCAATGCCATGCCCCACATAGGCCACAATTTCCAAATCATAAAATAAATTGAATTTAAAGCTGTTAAATTGGCCATGTTGATATCATTCTAAACAAGTCCAAAGATAACTATTCTGGGCTAATTGGGACAAACATACTTGTAGATAGGCTCTACTGTATTACGTTTATTGTGAGCTTATATATTTCTGTTCTTCTCATTCTTGGGTGAATTTTCACCCCGATAAAACTTTAGTTATTTTGTATGAAGAGTACATTTTTTTGGGTGTTGCAATGAGAGAGCCTCATGATAAAATCACTTTTAACTGGCTTTAAAGAAATCCTGCAGTGTCTTTTCACTGCAAGAGAGGTGGAGAGAGAGAGAGGGAGAGAGGGGAGGGGTTGTATGGGGGGGGAGGGTCACCTTTTGTGCAAATACATCAACCAAGAAGACTGCAACCAGCATCAGATTTCTGTGTGTGTGTGTGTGTGTGTGTGTGTGTAAGAGAGAGAGGCACTCCTTTGCAGAGAGAGAGAGAGAGAGAGAGCGAGAGAGATAGAAAGAGGGAGAGGGAGAGAAGTCCAAAAAGCTTTGGAGCATTGCAAGAAGAAAGAAGAGTCTCTGCTGCCAGATTTCCACACTCTACAACCAAAAACAAAGTGATATACTTTTCCTTGAAAAAGTTAGAAAAGCGGCCATGGACGGTACCACATTCGGACGCACGTTGCTCCTGTGCACCTTGCTGCTCTGGGCATTTCAAGGTAATTCTCTTTGATACTTTCCGCTACTTTTTTTTTTTTTTTTTTTTGGAAAATGATAGCCTTTAGTAACTTTACAATGCTTTAGACGCGGTGCTGGTTAGGTTTTCATGGCTTCAGGCTGCAGATTCTTACTTTACTCTTCCGCGGACTGCCGGGTTGTAAGAGGTCCGATGCTTACCGGGACAGACCTGTCCGTACGTGCCGCAGTCAGACGCGGCTCATTGAGTAGTTCTCCTTGGACACGTTGTTGTTTATTTATGTTCTATATTTGGTTGGCTGGTGTTGAGCAACCTGTTACCGGCGGAGCAGATAAGCCAGAAACACGCCGACAGCAGGTGGAAAACCGGATTTAACCAAAAATCGACATACGTGTAGCCGATCGAACAACTGATGCTGGTTTAAACAGCAGCCTAACTGGTGAAAAAGAAATAGTAGCCGTCCGGTTGCGCAGCCCCGACCACGGTTTATCTCCGCTGATGGGATGTTTTAAAGGGTTAATGGTTGCTCTTTGTAGTTGTGCGGTAAGTCTCAGCTCCGCACTTGAGTGCACTTTAAAAGCGCACACCGTTATTTCAGTCTGCACCCCGCTGCCAATTCAATAACACCAAAGCAGCAGCATGTAGGCTACCTCTGCGATGCAGCCACAGTGAAACATATTGAACTTTCAAAATAAAACACGGATTGACCAATCATAATGTTTATGTGTAAATAAAGTGTAGATTAAATGTCAAATCTACAACAACAAAAAAGCTTCCAAGAATGTTTCGGACATTATAAACATGTCCTTCCTGAACAGTGAGCGATGTGAAGCTTTTATTTTGCCTGACTCGGGCTCATCCATGCTGTTATATGTCTGGCTGCTGGGTGCAGTTTCCAGCTCTTTGATGTCTGATCTGCGGGATTTGCTTCTCCTTTGCTGGCAGCGCGCCTCGCCCTCAGCACCCCTGGGTGCTGCCAGAGAGACTAAGCCAATTTATATTCAACTTGACTTTATCCTCCTATGATCCCCGTCAAAGTAAAGTTTCTGATTACTGACCAAAAACCAAGTAGGCTATATATCCATTAAAGGAGTTGCTGTGATGCTCGAGGCTTCAAGTTTAGTATTGACCTGGTTTTGCGTTTGCCGTAGAGGTTCATCTCCAATTCACTCCCTCTAACTGTCATGTATAATAGATCACTTGCTTGATTTTGATATCTGTGCGTCTCATGAGTTTGACTTGAAAGTATGTGTGGGTCCTATTTGACTGTGAAGATCAAATTTGCTGGAATGCTTTGTGGTCATCCTGTGAAAGTTATTTCTAATTCCTGGCCTGTGCAGAGAGTCTGAGTGGTTTGAAGCAGGATGAGCTGAAGGGCGGGGCTGGAAGTGCTCTGCAACCCCCCCTCCCCTCCTTCTGTTTTATAGCAACCTCTTTTCATTTTATACAAACATAGCGTTCTGTATATCCTCCACCGCCCAATTTTTACCTGGTTTAGCTTTTCCTCCCCTCTCCTTCCACCTCCCGCCTCTTCACCGCCCCAGATCTGCTTTTACAGGGCGACTTCCTCCTCCCTGGCGTCAGAGACAGTAGTGCTTTGCTGTCTGTCTGTCCTTCATGGAGCCTTTTAACAGGTGCCTACTAAAAAAGTGCCCTGTAATTGATGGCCGCAGTGTTAATCACACATCCTTCTGTACAGCTGCGGTGCTTTTGAGCACAAAGGCTCAGTAGTCTGGCGGAAGGAAAGTCATTATTTCCCTGTAGAGCTACAAATGTTGATTTGTTGGAAGTGAAAGTTTGCCAAATCCCTCTATTACTGTACTCTTTCCGTCTCGTTCTTGTTCTCTCTCTCTCTCTCTCTCTCTCTCTCTCTCTCTCTCTCTCTCTCTCATAGTTTAGTCTAATAATAGCAGCTCTTGTTGGATCTCACTGGGATTCTGACCCACATTCTCACAATTACTGGTCACACGCTCTGGCAAATTCAAAGTATGTCAGTTCTGAGCATAGAAGGGCAGTAAATGGAACCACGGGACACGTAACACCCATGTCATCTCTTGAGCCTGTATTTATGTTTGTAGTTGTGACACATATGTGATGCATGATGACAGGGGCGCCCCCAGGTGCTCAGCATGCCGGTGCCCGGGATGGCCGCTGACCCTTTGACCCGCTCACCCCGACATGTTGGTAAATGGCTCCTCTTCTATACGCTCCTGAGATGCCATTGCCTTCTTCATGGCGGGACAAGCATCGACGGCGGAAACATGCTGAAATGAAATATAACTTAATTTTAGCTGTTTGAAGTTTGTTGAACCACAGACTCTCAAATTAGAAAAACTTTTTTCTGAGCGGATGTTGGGGAAAATACATTACAACATTAAAGCCTCACAAAACTACAAAGAGACATAAGGTAGAGTATTTTATTTTTTTTTCAAAGCAATAACTTCTGGCACTGCTTCACTTTCTTTTGGGGGGTAAAAAGAACAAAGTGACATTAAGAGACAAAAGGAGAGTCAATGGTCAGATGAGTTTGCGCTAAACTGTAGAGACTCCAAAGTGGTCAGGAACCGGCGGAAAGAATCGCAGCGACAAGCATCAGCTGAGTTCAAGGTGTTAAAGTCTAACACGCAGCGTCAGCCTCTTTGTCTATCGCCACCTTAATTCCCACAGTCATTTCCTCACTTTTAATTTCTGTGCCTCCCCCCCGCCCCTGCCAGCGCCACATCAAAAGTGCACCCCCTGGAGACGTGTGTAATTATTATGGTATTAGGCCAGAAAAAGAGCCATTTAGCCATGAGGAGATAAAAGCCAGGGGACCTCTTTTCACAACTGTCCTGGGGCACTTGGTTTTAGTCTCTTGCAAGCATACACACATGTGCATTCCTAAATGCACGGATGGCAAATAGTAACAGGCACGCACATACAGCATGCATTCACTGACCAGGAAGGGTGCGCTCGCACAAACCTCAAATTATTAACACACCTGCACACATAATATGCCACCACACCCGGAAGCACACACACGTAGAACTGCAGGATGTTGCGCAACACTGGAAGCTCGTATAGCAGTGAGTGACAGATTGATAGTGACTGCTTTGGGAGAGCAAGTCCATGTTTGCCCCCTTGTTATTCAGGCCTCTGGGGGAGTGGGCCTTGGAATGGAAGGGCTGTAATTATTGGGGTGGTTCATTCTCCCCTCCGCGTGCTTCTACATAATGTGTGTGACAGTGACGGAACAGAGCACTGAGACGGAATGAGTGGCATTCCTCCGGACACGTCGGAGCTCGCTCTGTAATGTGTGTGTTTGTTTGTCGTCACTTCAAATTCTATGGACAAGGGCTTCCTTTCTTGCTTCAAAGCCCCCCCTCCCACCACAAGTCGCAGGCGGTAATCCATGTACAAACAAGTGGCCACAATGCGGCCCCCATTTCACCATCAAGAGGCAGTGTTGTAGGTGCAAAGCTGGAGTCCGCACACAGCCGGGGTGCATTCTTGTGGTTTGACTGGGTTTCACTCGGGGGGGCACCAGTTAAACATTAGTCGGTTAAGGTAATACCATGTTGTGGTTGGCTTGTGTCAGGAAGTCCATTTAGTAATCATTGAGCTCTGCTAAGGGGATTGGAGCTCGCCAGCCTTTTCACACATGCCCACTGGTGTTTATTATTTGCAGTGAATGACACATTAAAGTCAATCCCAGCAGTGTTTGCTCGCTGTGATTTACCTTGTTGTCTTCGCGTTTGTTGACCTCTGGGCTTTTGTGCATGGTGCACAGTTAATAACCCTGCATAGCATCAGGAAGATTGCCCGCTGTGTTTCAGTGGGAGAAGGCTCTGTTTGCATTCACGCCCATCCCTAGAGACGTTCCTCTGCAGATTTATGGCCACTATTGATGATTTTAAAATAAGAAAGGCCCCTCCTCCCCCGCTTGGCATGTTCACTTCTTTCTCACTTAGCATAGGACACATTCCAGTATGGTGTCTATCTCTTTGAGTCTCGACTTTAAGTTTGATTGTTGTGAAAAACCTACATACACACTCTCATGAATATTTAGAATGAGATGTAAAAGAAGCGGCCCAGAAGTTGTTTTGGTTTCATCTGTTGCTTGGAGGATGCTGTCTTGTAATTAGTGTGAGTTGTAGGGAGGAAAGGAAGGAAGCACAGAGGAATGGACAGACAAAGAGAGATCAAGGGATGGGATGAGAGATGATTACAGCTGACTGTTGTGAAGCCACCGAGCAGTCATGTTGTTCTCGTCTCGAGGGAGGAAGATGACGGTGATGGGTGATTTCAAATGCAGCCTTGAAAAGAGTCTACATGTGTCTGCATGGGTGTCCTTGTCTCTACCTCTGTGTATGGGATGGTGGGGGAGGCAAATCAGGGTTTGAGCAAAATTGAAAATTCACAAAGCTCTTTCGGGAGACGAGGTTAAGTGCTGCCAATCCATTTAGCAGGAGAGTGCTGTAGCAAGACGTGGATAAGAGCCTCCATTCCTCAGCCTGTTGTTGTAGGAATAGATAAAGCAGCAGGATTGGCCTGAGCTTTTTTAGCCACGCGTTGTACAGATCTGTGTCATAAATCGGCAAGGAAATACGATGGCCTACATGTTTTGTGCCTGCCACAGAAAATGGCATTCATACTACTACACCCTCTTGTGACCAACTGTTTTAATCAGTCACGTAGCGTGCGACTGTGGGGGGATGAAACGAACAAAAGTGATACAGGCAGAGATAGCAGCAGTGAGGATTAGACAGGCGGAGTACGTCAGGATTGACGGATGCCAATTAGGAATGGGGAATGTCAAGGAAAAGCCTGGATCTGTGGCCAAGGAGATCATTTTCCTGGCAGTAGAGAGGAAATCCTAACCCCTGCGCCCCTCCAACCCTAAACCCTCCATCTGACTGTTGGCTGGCGAAGCGTCCTCTGGGAGCCCCGCAAGCTGTTACTTTTCAGACATCAACAGTTGCCTCAGCAGCAGTTGTTGAATGCATCCCTCCAAAGAAGCCACACACACACACACAAACTTGG